AGGCTGACCGTGTTTGGGCGGGGGGATCCCAGCGTGAGTCCTGGGCTGACCGTGTTTGGGCGGGGGGATCCCAGCGTGAGCCCCATGCCCCAGCTCTCCTGTACGTTCTTTCCCCCCGAAGCTCCGAGGACTACCCAGAGATCGAGCGGCTCTTTCCCGAGGCAGAGATCCAGTATATCCCAGGTGCTGGCCACTGGGTCCATTCAGATAAGTCCCAAGACTTCATCACGGCCATCTGCAACTTCCTGCTGCTGCCATAGAGCTCCTTCCTGTGCAGGCTGAGAGAGCGCGATTCCTGGGACTGCCTACTCCTGGATCACCCCATGAAGGACATGGGGATTCTCTTGGGGACAGATCACTGCTGAGGTGTGGCCCCTGTCCACAAGCAGGGCCTCTGGGACGGAAGGCTCAGCACCTGACTCATGCATCTGTGTGGCAGGCTAGAGCAGAGAGTGAGGCAGGGCTGCACTGCCAGGGCCAGGATCTCTCTCCACCACATGCAGCTGGAGATGATTTGGCCTCAGTGCTCGTTCCAGCGGGCCAGGGCAGATCTGGAGTTGAGGCTCCCCCCAGGCCATCATGCCCTTCCATGTGCATCCCCAACGTGTTGGGGCAGTGGCCCATGGGCTCCCTGGCCCTGTTCTTCCCTCTTACTTGAATCCTTTCTTTGGGATCTTAAGGTTGTTCCCATTCCCAGCCCCCTTCCCCAGCTGCCTCCAAGCACACACAGACCCTTCACTGGGCTGTTTCTCAGGGACTCTGAGCTCTAGGGTGGGGGATCAGAGTCCAATCTGTCCAGATTCCAGCGTGCAACCCCAACCTTGCTGGAGGTTCCCATCCTCCACCAGAGGCTGGAACCAGAGCGCTGCCTACTCTTGCACTGCCTTCCTGTATAACTTCCTGGGACTCTGTACAGTATTTAAAATAAAGCCAAATCAGCACGGCGGCATCTAAACCTACAGGCCTTCTCCCAGAGGCAAGGCAAGGGGAGTGGGGCAGCAGTGAATTGGGCAGCATGGTCTCCTCTCAGCCTTAGCAGAATGAGAGTCCAGAGAGTCTCCTTGCCTCACAACGTAAGAACCAGGGGACATCAGTGAAATTAAAAGTCAGGAAACTCGGATCAGATCAAAGGAAATGCAGTACTGTTTCATCCAACACATACAACTGTGGAACTCACTGCCACTGGACATCATTAAGGCCCTGAGTTTATCAAGACTCAGATAGAGACTGGGCATTTATCTGGATAACAAGAACTTCCAGACTCAACAATTAATGTTAAAAGAAGAGTTTTGGAAGGGAGATTAAACCCTCCTGCTTCAAGGTTTAACTGATCATTAGGGATTAGGATAAGATATTTACAGGGACAGATTATCCCAGAGATGCTACTCAGGGGTTCCTGGAAGCATCTGATGATGGCCACTGTCCAACACAGGATACGGGCTAAATGGACCAGTCTGGCAATTCCTGAGTCCTTATTCTTTGAGCTCCTGGATGCAGTCTTCGACTGGGGTGAGCACAGCCTGGAATGAGGGGTGCACTGACCTTGCTATTTTCCAGGCTCCAGAACTATTGATTCTTTGGTTCCAAGTTGCTGGAGTAGAACTTGCTCACCGCAGGAGCAGCAAATGCCTCCTTAGGATAGATTATAGATTCTAAACCAGAAGGGACTATTTTAACATTGTCTGACCTGCATACTGCTGGCCAGAGAACTTCCCTGAAATAATTCCTGGTTGAATAGTGCAGATCTTTTAGAAAAACATCCAATATTGATTTTTAAATTCCTTTGGTAAATTGTTCCAATGGTTAATTACCCTCACTGTTAGAAATGTGCAGCTTATCTCCAGTCTGAATTTCTCTACCTTCAGCCTCCAGCCATTGGATCTTATACCTTTGTCTGCTAGGTTATTCGGCCCAGATCCACAAAGGATCCCAAATTCTATTGAATTCTTTGTTCTATGTTGCATGATTTACTAAGCAATCCAGATCGCTCTGTGTCAGTGACTTGTCCTCTTCGTTATTTATAGAACTCTGGGTAAATCTGCAGATATCTGCTCTATATCCAGATATCTGCATCCGTGAATCATTTTTGCAGATTGAAGATCAGATGCAGATACAAATTTTGTATCCGTGCAGGGCTCTAGTTATTTACCACTCCCCAGTCTTTGTGTCATCTGTAACGTTTATCATGAGGTTTTTATGTTTTCTTCCAGATCACTGACAAAAATGTTAAATTGCATAGGGCCAAGAACCGATTCCTACAGGACCCCACTAGAAAAACTTGCTTAATGATGATTCTTCATGTAGTTACATTTTAAACCCATCGGTTAGCCAGCTTTTAATCCATTTAATGTGTGCCACGTCAATTTTATATTGTTCTAGTTTATTAATCAAAATGTCAGGTGGTACCACGTCAAACGCCTTATAGACGTCTATTGCATCAACACTTGTCACCTTGATCAACCAAATTTGTAATTTCATCAAACTAGATACCCAGTTTTCCATGAGCCCCTGTTGATTAGCATTGATTACATTACCCTCCTTTAATTCTTTATTAGTCAAGTCCCACAGCAGCCATTCCATTTTCTTGCCTGGGATTGATGTCAGGCTGATGGGTCTATAATTACCCGGGTCATTCTGTTTACCCTTTTTGAATATTAGCCCAACATTAGCTTTCTTCCCATCTTCTGGCACTTCCCTGGAGCTCCAGGGGTTATTGAAGATCAATGTTAACAGTCCAGTGTGCATCCTTCAGGGCAGAAGCACAGCCTGACTTTCCTTTCCGGCCAGACTCCCCTAGGGCGTGCCCAGCTCCCTGGGGGTCCCTGTCTGTCCCAATCCAAACCGCTCCAGTCTCCGTTCTCAGCCCCAGGCTGTAGACAGGCACAGTAGGAGGGGAAGGTTTCTCCCTCAGCAGTAGAAGATAGAAGCAGCCCTTGGTGTCAGTGAATGCCTGGGGCCAGTGCAGAAGTGCTTGCCCGTCTCCTGGAGGTCCAGTTGCCTTTTCCCTCTCTGCTGCTAGTTATTGCCCCATGCTTATGGGAGTGAAAGAGCTTTAATTTCTGGGGAGTAGCAGTGTCAGGCCATCCACTCACAGGGGCTTCATGCAACCCCCTGAGCTAAGTGGGAAGGGGATTGCAAGGGGGTCTCCGAGCAGCAGGAAAGGAGAAGTGGCCCTTAAGGAACTGTGCTCCCAGTGTGATAGTGTGGCTAAGAGGGCTAGTGTGATTCTTGGAGGTACAAGGGGAAGCTTGAATTGGAGCAGCGAGGTGGTATTAGCCTTGTATGGGGCATTGGTGAGACCAGCTGTGGTGTCCACACTTCAGAAAAGGTCATAGAAGAGCCATAGGAATGATTTGAAGTCTGTAAAACCTGCCTGAAAGGGTGAGATAAGGGCATGTCTACGCTATGGGGACTAGAGCGGCATGGCAGTGGCACTGCAGCTGTGCCAGCAAAGTCCCTCAGTGGAGGCAGGGCCTACAGTGACTGAAGGGGGGACGGGTTTTCCATGGCTATAGGGCCTCCTTCCTTTCAGTGCCCCAAGAGGGAGTTAGGGGGGACCTTATAGGTGGTGGGAAGCAGAGACTGCTCAGGCAAGAGTGTGCTGTGCTCCAGCCTGGGGCAGGAAGGAGATGGCAAAGCAGACGAGTAACCAGGGCCCAATCAGTGAGGCTATGAGAATGACAGGAAACCTGCCACCAGCCGTGTGGCAAAACTCCCCCTAAAGGAGCCCCACGCTTTTTCTTCTTTTTTGGCAACTCTCCAAGCCTGACCTCCCCCGGCCGACCAGCAGGTGGCAGTAGCCGCCTAGTAATGACGCTGGTTTCCTGGGGCCTGGGCAGAGCCAGGGTCTTGCATCTGCAGCAATGTTCATTTCCCTGTTGCTGTCCCCAGCTGGGAGTCAGACCCCAAGCCCCTCAGACTGGCCCCAGCTTGAGTTCCATTCACTGGCCGCCCGGGGGCTCCAGGGTCCCAGCGTCCAGCTTTTTTCTGCCCCCAGCAGGGCTAGAAACGCAGTTTGTTGCAACGGGCAGCCAGGACGTTGATGCGTTGAGGGGACTCCAGAAGTAACACCAAATATCATGAGACTTGCAGTGAAATCACAGGGGTTGGCAGGTGTCATTTATTCCCTGGGCCCTCTGTTCCCGGTGCTCATTGCTGTGAAAGGAAGGGGTGATTATCACGGAGAAGTGTGCCTTTGCTGCACACTCCACACAGCCCAGCTCCCTGCCCTGGGCCTGGATGCTGATCGGGCCTGGCTCAGAAATCCCCCCTGGGTGCACGGCCTCAGCTGCCATGCTGTTCTCCAGCCTCCCTAGGGCGAGGGCTGCACCCCATGAAAGCAGACAGCTGGGAAGAGGAGGTGGGAGCCAGAGGGTGCATGGGGGCTAGGTGTGGGGGAGGGATGAGCCTGGGACCCTTCCCTCTCCTGTCTCTTTAAAAGCAGCTTGCTCCCCAGAGAGGCATGCCCCGTGGCCCCCCTTGTCCCCTCTGAGCCATGGGCAGGGAGCCAGGCCGAGGGGGCTCCCCCAGGGTGCACTGTCACTTGGGGGCAGGGCGTGGGGAGAGCCCTGCGCCTTGGAGGAGCAATGCCCCCTCAACCAGCCACCTCTGGCTGAAGGCGCTGGGCTCTGTCTGGAGCCCTGACTCCCGGCCATCCCCGCCCTGCCCGTGTGCGGGGCCCGCTCCCCTCGCACCAGCGCTGCCTTTGGGAACGGCAGGAAGAGGAGGGGACCAGGCTTCACTTTCACTTTCCCTTACTCAGAGTTCCTGGTGAACGGTGCAGGCTGAGCGGAGCCTCGGGCTGGGGCGATGGCTGGTGAGTGCAGGGGCAGGAGGGAGCCTGGGCTCTGTTCTGTCCCCCTCCTCGGGCCCTGGTGCACACCCTGCCTGGGCCTGGCAGCTGCAGGCGTGAGCAACCTCCGCTCCTGCCAGACACGAGGTCAGGCCTCTGGGCTTGAGTTAATGCTCCTGCCTGCTCCTCTGGGGTGGGGCTGGTGCTGCATTCTTCCCCTCCCTCCTTCGCCCCCTGGATGGGGCCAGCCCTCCTCCCACCCCCCTAATCCCTGCCAACTCCCCCTGGATGAGGCCAGCCCCCCCATCCC